GAACTGAAAATTTTTGTAGTTTTTTTCTCTCTCAGCTTTGGCTCGGCTGCTTTTTAAGAGACCTAATTAGAAATCAAAAGGGGACTCTGTCAGAAAGCCAAATTTCATAGTATTTTTGAATTTTAGGACTGCTCATTTTCTAATTTCAAAGTTATAATTTAAGCATGCCAAGTCTGTGGCATTTTTGAGATTGGATGAAGCAACAGATCAGAGTGGCAAACATAATCAAAAGAAAGGAACAACAGTCTTGAAGGCTGGTATCCCAATAATTTTAATTCTTAATTCCCAGTTTATCAATCCATATTGGGTATCCCCTCAAATTTTCAGCACAAGAAAAATATATGACCAAAGTCCAACTTCTCTTCCATTTTGATTTACAAGAAAGCCATTAAATTTATAATCAACAGCGAAGTTCAGGAGTAAGAATCTTGTTTTTCCTTCCTTTTCTGACTGGTGAGGTCAAAGAAGAAAAAAAACAAGCCCAAACTATTCTACTCAAACCTAATTACAATCTCAATCAGGTGTTTTGCTAAGTTTCTTACTTCCTCCTCCAGTTTTATTAGGGGCTATTTCCTCTCCACTGTCAGTTTTACAACGTTTCTCTTCTTTCCCCTCCTGTCCAGGAAATAGGAGATGGGGCAAGGGGAGGAAAAGGGACTATTATTTCTAAATCTCATTTTTGCACTCAGCACTAAACTGAGGGCTATTTGAGCCAATCTGTCACTGCAGTAGTTAACTTCCCTCATCACTCTGAATTTCTCAGACTCAAGATTTGGGTCTGAACATTTTTTTTCCCCTTTTATGGCTCTTGCCACAGCCTCTTTAACTTTTTTTCTCTTAAAGCTTGGCAGCAGCTTCCATATCTTCATTTTTGGGGTCGTGGGTACAATACAGTTATTCTACATGGAGACAATTTGGACAAATTATAAGGAGTCAGTGTATACTGCCTAGATACTGGGAATACATCTCCCTCAGGGTTCCCATTTAAATTTTTTTTCTTTTGTTTTTACTTCTTTCTCTATCCATTGGTGAAAAGCAGCAGAAGATTTAGGACTACATTCATCATTCCAGTAAATCCATGGACTCAGTCAACCAGGTGTACCTTGATACCTATGCTTTCTGGTAATGGGGCAGCCCATTCTTTTCACTAATTTCTCCCCTTCCCTTCCCTTTGATTTCTGATAACAGTTGTGTCAGTACCAGATTCAAAGGATTCCCTTGGTCTGACACAATGGAGCATGTTCAGGGTTATTTTGCTGGTATAGGCTTTGTTGAATAATGCACTGAGAGAGTAATTAAACAGTCTCTGTTGCTCCTAAGCAACAAAGCTAGTCCACATATTTCCCATGGCCCCAGAAATGTCTTGACCTTTAGGGATTCAATGACTGACACTGGAAATTTGTTTTACCCAGACAAGAACTTTTGTTAGAGCTTAGGAATCCACTCTCTGGGAATTGGAGTTGTGGAGGGTGCCTAGGGAAGGGATGAGAAATGCACTTGGCTAGAGCTCATACTGAGTGAAGTAGCATCTATACCACAGAGCATTTTCTCCACCCTAAGGTCAAGTACTAGGCATATTCTGAGGGCCCAGAAATACATTGAGATCTGAAGCAAAGACTAGTCTAGACCTATTTCCACACTTGAGCTTTTCTTTATTTTTTGCATTTTTGTGGGAGTAAATGAACATCAGTATCCTGCTTACCTGATACTCTCAGGGCCATTGGAGGGGACCTGAGAGCCTTTTCAAGAAACAAAAAGAGGGAGATACTACAGTTTCCAGGCTTTTCCAGAGTGGATGATATGAGTCAGATTGAGATTTAATGAAAAGCACTCTGCCAAATTGTATCTGGGTCCTTGTATTAGAAGGGATATTGACAATAGAGCTACATAAAGATATGAGAAGGGGCACAGGAAAGCTTTTGCCAATAGTTTTACACAGTTGGCTTTTATGGGTTTAAATAGCAACTCTAATCAGTTGATTCCCAGATCTATACTCAGCTCTTGTCTATGTCATGACCTCTATATAGTTCTATATCATTCATACTTTGTGATATTTCCATCTGGATTTGTCATAGGACTCCCAAATTCAATACGCTAGCCCAATTGCTCAAACATTCCTCCTGACTTCCAAATTTCCTTATTTCTGTCCAGGGTACTAACGTCTTTCCAACTACTCAGTTTCACAACCTCTTTCTTCTTCTTCACTTTCCCTATCTAGTCAGATGTTAAGTCTGGTCAATTTTGCCTCCAAAATATTTCTATCATGTTCAAATCTGGCTTCAAACACATACTAGCTATGTGACCTTTGGTGAGTTACTTAACCTTTATTTGACTCAGTTTACTTACTTATAACAGGGGGACAATAACAGCACCTACCTTGCATGGTTTTTGTGAGGATCAAATGAGATAACTGTAAAGTGCTTAGCATAGTGCCTGGAACATAGTAGGTACTATCTAAATGCTTGTAACCTTCCATCCTTTCTCGGTATAAAAACCCATCTTCTCTTATATTTTCTGGTGATGCTGTTAGATGGTGAAACAAAGAGCATCATCATCTCTGATTAAAATTGCTTCAGACCTCATAGAAGGAAGGGGGAGAATATTGAAGGGTGGGAGGGCAGAAGGACGAATTCTGTTTTGGACACGGTGAGTCTGAGTTGTATAGCAGATGTCAAGTAGATTATAAATAGATGGAGAACAACATACTGAAGTGTCATAGTTGACAATATCAAAGATATAGATAATTCTAAAAAGTATAGAGAGGTGGGATGGTCCTAAAATGACAGTAAAAGAGAGCAGATGAACAGACTAGGGGTGCTGTTGTATCTACAAAACATTAAAAGATGAAGAGGAAGGCCTCTAGCTGGTTGTATAGATCCTCCTTACAAAATTTATGGAAAGCCATGGAACATATTTATGCAGGAAGAGAAGGCATGTAAAGTTTGTAATCCTTACTGGTGGGGGGAATGTTCACCACCACCACCATCATCATCATTACCATTATCATTATCATAGCTAACATTATATAGAGCTTATTATGTGCCAGGCACCATACTAAGCAGTTTACACAACAATAAGGTCCCTCATTTATCAAATCCCTGAAGAAACTATTTATGTACATGTGTTATTTTTTTTTTGACTTATAAGCTTCTTGAGAGTAGGGTCTGTGTTCTATATTTGTTTTATGGTTTCAAGTTCTGTGTGTTCTGTATTTATTTTATAGTTCCAAGTACTAAAAAGTGACGGAAAGCCATGGAACATATCCACACGGGAAGAGAAGGCATGTAGAGTTTGTAATCCTTATTGGTGGAGGGAATATTCACCACCACCAGCACCACCACCATCATCACCATCATTATCACCATCATCATCACAGCTAACATTATATAGAGCTTACTATGTGTCAGGCACTGTACTAAGCAGTTCACATAACAATAAGGTCCCTCATTTGTCAAATCCCTGAAGATACTATTTATTGTACGTGTGTTATTTTTTGGACTCATAAACTTCTTGGGGAGCAGGGTCTGTGTTCTTTATTTATTTTATAGTTTCAAGTTCTATGTGTTCTATATTTATTTTATAGTTTCAAGTACTGAAAGATACTGTCTTTGTATAGGTGCTTAATAAATATTTGTTGATTTGTTAACACAAGGACTTGTGACTGTTGTAAATTCCATGTAGGAAGAAATTAGAGACAATTCACTTTAGTTCTTTTTGACAACCATTGTAAGGGACTGGAGTACAAAAGAGAAGCTTAAATTGTAGAACATTAGAGCTGAAAGGGACCTCAAAAGTCATAAAGTACAAAGCCCTCATTTTATAATTGAGGAAACTGAGCCTTTAGAATTTAAATGACTTGATCAAGACTGAGCCAGGAGTAAACATCTTAAGACACTCCCCCCTCCAAAGTTGTATAGAATGGAAATTTAGAGATATACTAACATCACAGAAGCAGTTATGAATGATGGCTAAACATGACCACTTTAAATCTCTAAAGATGCCTTGAAAAATCTGGAGTGGAAAGAATTGTTTTGTTTCTTTCATCTTTGGTCACACCAATTCTGTAGACAAATACAGACTTTGAAAGGATAGCGTTGAGGTCATGATAGTCTTTGAAAATTCTATGCTATTTTGGGACAGTTCTGAACACTACTCAAAGAATAATCAGTGAGCATTTTTTGCTTGTGATGTTTTTTCTACAAGTTAATTTTTTTTTAACACTTACACTTCTCCAGAGTGTATTCATTGATCAAAAATAAGTAATACACTTATTGAGAGACACTTCTCTCTCTAATGCAAACCACAATTTTGAACTGGGTTGTAAATTTCCTGAATATTAGAGCTGGAAGGGACAGATAATTCCCTCACCCATAAAATGGAAGCAAAATACTGACCTGACCAACTGCTCTATAAGGTTGTTGTAAGACTCAAATAAGAAATAAAATACAGAGTGTGGTACAGTTAATTGTGAATTTGGGCACACTGTCTTTATTACTAGACACTTAAGATTTTAATAAATTAAGGAGACTTCAGTTTAAAAATGATAGTTGTCAATATATGTGTGTGTGAATGACCCTAAATAATACATTTACAAGTAGAAACAATTATTACTATCACAAATGCAAATGTTGGGAGGATGTATGGTTGTTAGGAAATGAGTGCAAATTTCTGGAGTATGCATGGAGAAAAGGTTAGCCATGTGTATATATTATTATGTGCCAGGGTTTAAGAGGCAGTGAATAGGACCCTATAGTAGGTCCAAATAAAAATTAAATTATAAAAGTGAGATCCTTAGGGCATTGGATTCCTATTATTTTTCTCTGTCTTCCCTCCTTATTATTCTCCTCCTGATTTACCCTTTCTCCCCTCCTCATGCAAACACAGAAAGACTCTCATAATGCTAAGCCTATAGTTCAGTTATATAAGTGTTATCACAGTCATGAAGGCAGGGCAATTAATTTGAGAAACAAGAAGGTGGCAGCAGTTGTGAATCACTCTGATTGGGCTCCAACTCTCTTCTCCTCTGAAGCTGCTTGCAACTACCCTACAAAAGCACAGCTAGTCAAGCCTTTGAGGTATTCATCCTACAGAGCTTACAGACTGTGTGATCAGGATGGAGAACAAGAAAGCCAGGTGAGACTTCTGTTTTAGACCAGTGTGGGAATGGAAAATCTGGATTTTTAGTGTATATGTTTTCCCTGGTGTTATGTATATTCCCAAGGAGAATCTTATGGAATGGGATATATGTATGTATATGCACACCTGCACATATATGCATATGTACATATACATATGTAGCGCACATGTACACAAACACAGTTGTATACTAGAAAGAGCCCTGGTGATAAAAATAAAAAACCTCAAGTTGGAGCACTGTGCCAGTGCCAGCATTTCTTAATTTGTGTAGATGGGTAAATCATATCACCCCTCTGATTATTATTTTTCCCATCTTAAAGGTACTAATATTAATATTTGATCTACCTATCTCAAATGATTGTTGTGAGGGCAACAATATGTAAACTTTAAAGAGTTCTATAGATATAAGCTAATATCCGAGAAGAGTTTTTATATGATGGAAAAAGAAGTATATTTGGCGTCAGGAAAGACCTGGATTAGAATTCTATATCTGTTGTGGGGACATGGGCAAATTATTTAACCTTTCTGGTCCAATTTCCTCATTTATAAAATGAGAATATAAATGAAAAGATAGTTTAATCTCACCCATTTAATCTCTCTAATTGGTAGTGATTTAGGGCACTTTTTATATGACGATGGATAGCTTTGATTTCTTCATCTGAAAACTGCCTGTTCATATCCTTTGAGCATTTATCAACTGGGGAACAGCTTTTAGTTTGGTTCGGCTTTACCAGTTTCCTGTTTCCTTTTTTGACTGTATTAGTTTTGTTTCTGCAAAAGCTTTTTAATTTCATGTAATCAAATTATCAATTTTACTTCCTATAATCCCTTGTATCTCATTTGTTCATAAATCTTTTCCTTAGCTATAGATCTGACAGATACATTTCCCCATGCTCCCTTAATTTACTTACAATATCACTCTTTATGTCTAAATAATTTATCCATTTTGACCTTATCTTGGTATAGGACAAAAGATGTTGGTTTATAACTAGTTTTTGCCAAACTGCTTTCCAATTTTCCAAACAATTTTTAAAATCAAATGTTGAATTACCCCAAAAGCTTTGATCTTTGGATTTTTCAAACACTAGATTACTATGCTAACTTGTTACTATGTATCGTCTACATAAATTATTCCAGTGATCCATTATTCTATTAGCCAGCATCAGATTGTTTTGATGGTTACTGTTTTGCAATATAGTTTGAAATCTGGAACTAGGTTACCTTCTTTAATATTTTTTTCAATTGATTCCCTTAACATTTTTGACCTTTTGTTCTTCCAGATGAATTTTGTTATGTGTTTTTTTCTAGCTCTACAAAATTTTTTTGGTAATTTGATTGACATGGTACTGAATAAATAAAGTAGAAAAATAAATTGAATAATAAATAATAAATAAAAATAAAAAAGAAATTAGGTAGAATTGTCATTTTTAATATATTGTCTTGGCCTACCCATGAGCAATGAATAGTTCTCTGTTATTTCTGACTATTTCTGTGAAAAGTGTTTTGTGATTGTGTTCATATAGTTCCTGAGTTTGTCTTGGCAGGCAGACATCCAAGTATTTTATATTATCTGCGTTTATTTTAAATGGAATTTCTCTTTCTATTTCTTGCTGCTAGACTTTGTTGGTAATATATAGAAATGTTGATTTATGTGAGTTTTTTTGTATCCTGCAATTTTTCTAAAGTTGTTAATTATTTCAACTAGTTTTTTAGTTGATTCTATGGGATTCTCTAAGTATACTATTATATCATCTGCAAAGAGTGACATTTTTGTTTCCTCATTGCCTATTCTAATTCCTCCAATTTCTTTTCCCTCTCTTATTGCTATAACTAGCATTTCTAGCGCAATTTTGAATAGTAGTATACAGCTGAGAAAAAATACTTTCCTTTTTAGTTCCATTCAGTTTTCTCCAGAGGTCTATCATATCTAACATTTTTGTGATTTTATTCATCTCCTTAACTTCCCTCTTATTTATTTTATGGTTAGATTTTTCTAGCTCTGAGAGGGGAAAGTTGAAGACCCTCACTAATAGAGTTTTACTGTCTATTTTCTCCTATAATTCATTTAACTTTTCCTTTAAGAATTTGGATGCTATGCCACTTGGTGCATGCATGTTCTGTATTGATTTTGCTCTATGGTGCCTTTTTTAGCAAGATGTAGTTTCCCTGCTTATCACTTTTAATTAATTCTATTTTTGCTTTTGCTTTGTCTGAAATCATGATTGTAACCCCTGCCTTTTTTTTTGCTTCAGCTGAGATGTAATAGAATATGCTCCAGCCCCTTATTTTAACTCTCTGTTTCAAGTATGTTTTTTGTAAACAACATGTTATTGGATTCTGATTTCTAATCCATTCTGCTATTCACCTCTGTTTTATGGGTGAATTCATACCATTCACATTTACAGCTATAACTACTAACTCTGCATTTCCACTCAACCTATTTTCTTCTGTTTATTCTTCTCTCTCTTCTTTTATCCTATTCCTTCTCTAAAGTCTGTTTTTCTTCTGACTGCTGCCTTTTATCTTCTCTTCCTTTTACTACCCATTCTCTTTCTCTTTTCCCCTCCCTCTTCTACTTCCCTGTTGGATAAGATAGATTTATATTATCAACTGACTATGTAGATATACTTTTCCCTCTTCAAACCAATTTAGATGTGAATGAAGTTCAAGTGTTTCCTGCACCACCACCCCCAGGTCTCATCATTTTCCCATACTGTAAAAGCTCTTCCTTGTGCATTTATTTTATGTGAGACAATTTCCCCCATTCCTCCTTTCCCTCTTATTTCAGGGTATCCTTCTTTCTCACCTATCCATTCTTTTTGCATAAACATCACGGACTCACTCTTGAACCTTCTTTCTATGTAAAATCCTTCTAACTGCCCTAACAATGATAAAATTCTCAGAAGATACATGTATCACTTTCCCACACAGAAAGGTAAAGTTTAACCTTACTGAGTCCCTTAAACTTCTCTTTCATATTTATCTTTTTAAGCTTCTCTTGAGTCTTGTATTTGAAAGTCAAATACTATTCAGCTCTAGTCTTTTCATCAGGAAAGCTTGGAAGTACACTTTTATTGAATAGCCATTTTTTTCCCTTGAAAGATTATGCTCAATTTTGCTGGGTAGGTTATTATTGGTTGTAATCCCAGCTCTTTTGCCTTTTGGAATATCATATTCTAAGCCCTCCACTCCTTTAATGTGGTAGTTGCTAAATCTTATGTTATCTGGACTGCAGATCTATGATATTTGAATGGTTTCTTTCTTGATGCTTGAAATATTTTCTCTTTACCCTGGGAGCTTTGGAATTTGACTATAATATTCCTGGGAGTTTTCATTTTGGAATCTCTGGCGGTAATCGGTGGATTCTTTCAATTTCTATTTTACTTTATGGTTCTGGGACATTGGAGAATTTTTCCTTGATAATTTCTTAAAATATGGTGTGTAGATTCTTTTTTTTTAATCATGGCTTTTAGATAATCCAGTAATTCTTAAACTATCTCTCTTTACTCTACTTTCCTAGGTCAATTGTTTTGCCAATGAAATATTTCACATATTCTTCATTTTCCCCCTTTTCTTTTGGCTTTGTTTTATTGTTTCTGGGTGTCTCATGGAGTTACTGCCTTCCATTTGCCCAATCCTAATTTTTAAGGAATTATTTTTTTATTTTATTTATATACACATATATATATATACACATATGTGTATATATATATACACATATATATGTATATATATATAGGCTAGGCAATGGGGTTAAGTGACTTGCCCAGGGTCACACAGCTAGTAAGTGTTATGTGTCTGAGGCCAGATTTGAACTCAGGTCCTCCTGAATCCAGGGCTGGTGCTCTATCCACTGTGCCACCTAGCTGCCCCCCCCCTCCTTTTTTGGTTTGTTTTTTTTTGAGGAATTTTTTTTTTAAAGAGCTTTTGCAACTCCTTTTCCATTTGGCCAATTCAGTTTTTAAGGTGTCGTTTTCTTCAGTATATTTTGGGCTCTTTTACCAAGCTGTTAACTGTCTTTTCATTTTTCTTCCTTTGCTTTCTTTTTTTATCTAATTTTTCTTCTGTCACTCTTATTTGATTTTGAAAACAATTTCTTAGCTCTGCCAAGAATTCTTGTTGGGCTTGTATCCAATTCACATCTTTTCTTTGAGACTTTGTTCTATGTTGACTTCATTGTCTTTTTGTCAGTTAGTGTCTTGATCTTCCCTGTCACCAGAGTAGCTTTTATGGTTAGGTTATTATTACTATTTTTTTTTGCCATTTGCTAATTTTTCCACCGTATTTCTTGATTTGGAACTTTATATTAGTGTTGGGCTCTGTTCCTGTCATGGGACTGGGGGTGGTGTTCTATATTAAGTTTCAGGTTTTTTTGTTTTGTCTTTGCAGTGCTGTTTTCAGAGCTAGTTCTAAGGGTTTCGAAGTTTGGAGTGCTTCCAGACTTGTTTGATCTGGGGAGAGGTATGATCTTTTTTTGTCTGCTCTCTAGTCCTTACCCAAGAAGGCCCCCTGATCACTTGGGATTGTAATTGATAATGCTCCTCAGGGATTTTCCTCCCTTGTGACCAGAAATGATACTGTTCCTCAGGGACCCTGAACCCTTGGGAACAAAAGTGATACTGTCCTTTAGGGTCTCCAGTTCCTTTTACTAGTGCAAGCATACCCTGTAATCTCTTTCTTTTTTATTTTAATAAATTAATTTATTTTTAATTTTCAACATTCACTTTTATAAGATTTCGAGTTCTAAGTTTTCCCCCTTCCTTTCCTTCTTCTATCTCCAAGATGGCATTCAATCTGACATAGTCTATATGTGTACAATCATATTAAACATATTTCCACATTAGTCATGTTGTAAAAGAAGAATCATAACAAAAGGGAAAAACCATGAGGAAAAAAACCCCCCAAAAAACACAAAAAAGAGAAAGTAGTATGTTTCAATCTGCATTCAGACTCCATAATTCCTCCTCTGGATGCAGATAGCATTTTCCATCATGAGT